GTATAACAATTTCTAGTTCCATCCATTTACCTGCAAATTTCATGATTTCATCTTTCTTTACAGCTGAGTAGAACTCCATCATATAAATAAATGTGCCACCGTTTCATTAGTGGATAATATTTTTTTTTTTGAGACAGGGTCTCCCTGTAGCCCCAGCTGTCCTGGAACTCACTATGTAGACCAGGCTGGCCTTGAACTCACAGAAATCCGCCTGCCTCTGCCTCCTGAGTGCTGGGATTAAAGGCGTGTGCCACGACTCCTGGCCCATGGATAATATTTTTTATGTGCTCTTGCTTTCAGTTTGCAAGTCTTTTGAGAATTTTTGTGCTTATAGTCATCAGATCATTTACATGGTCTATAGTTTTCTTTTTTATTGGGTGTTTGTCTGGATTTGATATCTGGGAAATACTGGCATGACAAAAAAATCTACAAGTTTTCCTTCCTTTTGTAGTTTAGACAATAATTTAAGGAATATTGACATTAGTTCTTTGATGCTCTTGTAGAAACCTGTCCTCTAGCCATATGGTCCTGGGCTTTTATCACTTAGGAAATTTATAATCACTCCTTCCTTCTCATTGGTTGTTACAGGTATATTTATGTTGTTTACCACATCTTTATTTACTTTTGATAGGTCTTACGTATCTAGACACTCATCCATTTCTTTTACATTTTCCAGCTCAATGGACCATAGGTTGTTTTTTACAATATGTATTTTGGTGAATTTTTGTGCATTTCATATAATACATCTTAATCACATTTAGATTCCCTCCCTTATCTGCACTCTTCATAGCCCCACCATGGATTTCATGCATTTTGTCATGTGTGTTTGTGTCCTCAGATGTCCCTAGGTGTCAGGCTCCACTGGAGCCTGGTCAGTTGATCTAGCATTTCTCCCTTAAAGAAGACCAACTATCCATCATCCAGCAGTGATCAGCTGCCAATAGTTCCTCAACCAAATTTGGGGATTCTTACCCATTTCTCCAGTTCTATGCTGGAGTTCTGTCTGGTTTGAACTTCCATGGGTCCTGTCCATGCTGTCATCAGTGTTGTAAGTTCATATGAGCAAGTTCCAAGATTCCTGGAAAACTGTTTCCTTGTGGTCATCTGCCACCTGTGGCTCTTACACTGGCCCCTGAGCTCTAGGTGGAAGAGGTTTGATATACGATATATATCCATGAATACACACACTGTAGTCTTTTATTCTCTACATTTTTTGGCAGTTGTAACTTTCTCTTTTTTAACTTTTAGAAAAACTTCATTGAGAATTTCATGCATATAAAGTGTTTTGATCAAATTCACGCCCACTCCCTTCCCCCCAACACCTCCATATGGCTGTAAATTTTTAGGTTTACAGTTGAATTAATACAGTTATACAATATTGTAGTCAGTACAAATCATATAAGACATAAAATTAAATGAGGTTTTAACCTTTAAAAAAAAGATCTCCATTTCATTATTAAAACACACAGTTTCATACCAAAAAATTCATTTTTAATGCAATTGACACTAAGATGTTTGCACATGCGTTTCTTTTCTCATCTGATTATTACTAGTCACAGTCAGTTACTTTCTGAGCTCCTTGGCATCTGAGCACGGACATAAAGTCATCAGGTAGATCTCAATGGTAATGTTTTTCACATCTACTAATTATTAAGGAGCAAATCTGTATGCTTTGAAGAATTATTTTTTTATCCACGGGCATTGCACAGCATTACATACATGCAGGCAATATACTCAATTCACATGAAATATAAATAATAAATAATGTATTATATTTGAAGAGGAAGCATGGAAATTTATGTCATGTTAATTAGTAGAGGTGATAAATATTACCATTGAAATCTACCCAATGGCTTTATAGATATACACAGCCACCAAGGATCCATCTGTATATATCTATGACTAGTAATAATCGGATACATACAGATTAGATACATACAGATTAGAGACTCATTGTTCTTCCTATTAACACTGAGATGTTGGTGCATGCGTCTCTAATCTGTATGTATCTAATCTGTATGTATCCGATTATTACTAGTCATAATCAGTTTCACTGGGATCCTTGGCACCTGTGTATGTCTATAGAGTCATCGGGTAGATTTCGATGTTAATGTGTATCACCTCTACTAATTAACATGATGTAAATTTTTATGCTTCCTCCTCAAATATAATACATTTTTTAAAATTTGTTCATTTTTCTGTGTGTGTATATCACACAGAACATCCCAAACTATCTTATTCAACTATACACCCACTTCCCAGATAGCAACCTCTCATATCCTCCCTCCCCCCACTAGGGCCCTTATACTCTGATATCCCTGCTACTGTCTGCTGTGTTGTTGGCACCCCCAGCCATTCCCCACTACTTGCCCTTCTGGTGGATTTAGTCAGCCTATCTAGAGGTCTTAGTTTTAAGAGGGTCAGCTGTTCCTCATCTGGCAGCAATCAGTTGTCAATATTCCTTTAGATAAGATTGGGGTCCGCTGTTCATTTTCCAAGCTCTATGATGGGTTACTATCTGGGAGTCCCTTGGGCCACCCTGGCCAACAACTCAAAAGAAGGTATCTCCCATCTGGCATTGTTGCTTGTTATATAGCCTTTAGTTATGCATACAGACTCTTAAGAAATTATATTGGCCCCTTTAATCTTTGGTTATACTTTCCTTTTGGGTGTTTAAGGCCATACAGTTGGCCCAGATACACCAATTTACTTTTACTCTAAAGGCTGTTTGAGGATCTGTTCTTCAGGGGTCACATGGGCTTGGGAGGAGCCCCTGGATCCTTTCTTTAATCAATTCCATCTATGTGAAGATAAGTCAAAGGTCCTGCTCAACCATGGCTGACTTCACTTTGAAGCATTGAGGAAATGATTCCTCTGTGTTGACCCTCCTCTTTGTAGAATTGACAATGGTTCAAGTCCATCTTGTCGAGTCTCCCCAGCCTCCTTGATCAAGGGGACAGGTCACCCACTACAGTTACAGGATGTTTTGGGAGATGCTCATAGTCCCCTGGAACTCCTTTATGTCTCCCCGACCAAATTAGTATAGGCCTCAAAGTATGTCTGTTAAACATCCAAGAAGGTTAGTTCCACCAGTCTGGTACTTTTAATTACTGTGGTGCCATGTAGAAAAATCTTGGGCAAAGACCAGTTGTTCTCAGATAAACCTTGCCTAGACATATATTTCTTGATATGGTATGTATAATTTGTCAGTAGGTTGGTGGACTAATATGGTTCCTTCTGGGTTTTAAAACCAGCTAGGTATTATTTATCTTTTGGATTGTCTACAAGATCATGGTTTCCCCAATTAAGGTGCCCCCATTTCCCCCCTTTCTCCCTTA